GATTCGCCTGGGCAACTTGGTGAGACCTCATCTCTACAATAAATCAAAAAATCAGCCGGGTGTGGTAGCGCATGCCTGTAATTCTGGCTACTCGGAAGGCTGAGGCGGAAGGATCGCCGGAGCCCAGCAGGTCGAGCCTGCGGTGGCCGGGAGCGGCCACTGCACTCCGGTCTGGGTGACGGAGTGAGACTCCAACTCAAAAACAAAACAAAACAAAACAGGAGGTTGATCACTCTCCTCCTCTATGTTCTTCAAGTCAGGTGTGTTCTCTCCCTGATCTTGATGACCTCACCCCTGCTCTCTGCACTCCTGACACATGGCTTCTGTTCTACCCCTGGCTTCCCTCCCTCAGACATCATAGGCCTTCCAGCATGCTGTGTCCCTGCCTGGAATCTGCTCCCTGACCCTTGCTTTTTCTGGCCATCTCTGATTCCTTCTTCGTTTTGTTGCTGAAAAGGCTTCTCCTTCCAGGCAGCCTTGCAGGACTGCCTCTGCACCCTAGGCTGGGATAGAGCCCGTTCTGTCCTGAGTTTGGACTTCTCCTTCCTAGCACCCATCACAACTGACATTATTCAGGCTGGTTTAATATTATTCTTATCATTGTTAGGGACAGGATCTCACTCTGTTGCCCAGGCTGGAGAGTAATGGTGCAATCATAGCTATCTTAGCTTTGACTTCCTAGGCCCAAGCAATCCTCCCACCTCAGCCTCCTGAGTAGCTAGGACTACAGGCACCACCGTGTCCAGCTAATTGTTTAATATTTTGTAGGGATAGGGTCTTGCTGTGTTGCTCAGGCTGGTCTCAAACTCCTGGCCCAAGTGATCCTCCCACCTCAGTCTCCCAAGGCACTGGGATTATAAGCGCCACCACTCAAGCTATTCAGTTAATGCTTCTTTCCCCCACCAGCTGAAAGCTCACGCTGCGGCAGTATCAACGTGGTGCCCAGCAAACACCTGCTGGTAAAATTGCACCCAAGTGGGTGGGAGGGAGAGAGGAAGGCAGAGAGGAAGGACAGAACAGAAGACAGGAGCTTGGGCCTCTGGGTAGGACACAGAAGAAGGGCCTGTATCCTGCCCCGGGCCACCGTCACCCCATTCCTGGACAGCCCCAGCAAGCGTACCGCGGTCCTCAGACTCCTGAAATCCCACATCTCCCCTGCCACGTCACCACATCCTGCACGGCCAAAGCAGGGGGCACATCAGTGGCACTGTCCTTGTCGTCACAGAAAAGCAGGCCAGGCCTGGAGGCTCAAGCCTGTAATCCCAGCACTTGGAGAGGCCCAGTTACTCAGAAGGACGAGGTGGGAGGAATGCTTGAACCCAGGAGGCTGAGACCAGCCTGGGCCACATCCTGAGACCTCATCTCTCCCAAAAATAGAAAACAAAAAATCAGCTGGGCGCAGTGGTGCCTGCAGTCCCAGCCACTAGGGAGGCTGAGGCAGGAGGACAGCCTGAGCCCAGGAGGTTGAGACTGCAGTGAGTCACGACTGTGCCACTGCACGCCAACCTGGGCGACAGAGCAAGAGCCTAACGCATACAAATTTTTAAAATTTAAAAATTAAAAACCAGCTAGCCGTGGGCCAAAACAAAGCCTCTGCTGGCTCCTAGCTGGGAAAGCAATGTCTCCCAAGTGGGGTAAAACATACTCGCCCCCAGATTCCAGAAAGGCCTTGAGGTCAGGCCAGGAGCCTGCTGGAAGCTGGTGTACAGCAATGTGGGCACAGGGTCCGAGTCTTCAGGGAGGGGCCATGCGCTGGGCTGAGGCTCCAGACCAGAGCCCGCGGCCTCTCAGGCTCCTCCACGACCCCCTCCAGGTGAGGCACCAGTGGGGGTCCATCAGGGAGGAGACCCAAACAGAGCACAGTCCTCCTGGAAGATTAGTCACACCCGTGGCCCCCAGACTGTGGAGGGAGAGGCAGAGAGGGGAGCAAGAAGCAACTTACCGCAGCAGAACGGCTTCAAGTGTCTCCACTCCATCATCCGGGAGCCCCGGGGGTCCTGTGGGGGACACACACTCAGAGTGACCGTGGGGCGGCCCAGCGTGGGCCCAGTGCGGAGACCTTCTCAGCCTTGTCTTCGCTACAAGAGACACATAAGTCCCACCCTGGACCCCACCATCACCCCATTTCTGGACAGCCCTAGTGTACGTACAGCTCTCCTCAGATGTCCCGAATCCCGCTTGTTCCCTGCCCTATCATGGGGCGCCACATCCCCCATGGCTAAACCAAGGAGGAGCACAGCAGGCCCCAAGACTTTAGTGGGGAAGGAGGGAAGCGTTGAGGTCTTGCTGTGATCATAGCTCACTGTAGCCTTGACCTCCCAGGTTTAAGTGATCCTTCCACCTCAACCTCTCCAGTAGCTAGGACGACAGTCACCCACACGCTCAGTCAATTTTTAGATTTTTGGTATAGTCAAGGTCTCGATATGTTGCCCAGACTGGTCTTGAACTCCCGGCCACAAGTAATCCTCTTGCCTTGGCCTCCAAAGTGCTGAGATTACAGGCACACACCACACCACGCCTGGCAAATTTTTTGGTTTTTGTAGAGATGAGGTCTCACTATGCTGCCCAGGATGGTCTTAAACTCCTGTGCTCAAGCCATCCTCCCACCTTGGCCTCCAAAAATGTTGGGATTACAGGTGTGAGCCACCGCAGCTGGTTAATTTTTAATTTTATTTTGGTGGAGATGGGAGCTCTGCCAAGGCTGGTCTCAAACTGTTGCCGGACCCATATTAATTAACACAGGACCAAGAGGAAGGTCGAGACAGAAGAATCTGAGGGTAGAAGCGTCGAGGTTGGGCCTGTTTCCTCTTCATATGGGCAGACACATGTTCAGTCTGTCCCAGGGCAGATTCAGGCACCAGGAGGGACCGGGCCAGGCAGGAGAGGCAGGTCCCAGTCATACGGGTCACTGGGCTCTACCCAGAAAGCGGAAGGTGGGTGAGTGAAGACAGACTGGATCTTGCAGAAGGTGGGCTAAGGAGGCCCCGAGGCCCAGCAAGGAGGGACACAGGCCACTCACCAGGATGTAGGCGTCCAGCTGCAACAAAGACACACAGACACAGTGAGCAAGCCCTCCAGCCAGCCCTGCCGCTGCACACTCCGGCATCCTCCACGCAGGGCCTGGGTCCCTTGGGACAGGCAGCCACTGTTATGGATGGAATCATGCCCCCCTGGATAACATCTTTGGCATTCTAACCCCCAGCGCCTCAGAAAGTGACTGTATTTGGAGACAGCTTCTTTAGACAGGGACCTTCTTTTTTCTTCTTTTTTTTTTTTTTGAGTCGGAATCTCACTCGTCGCCCAGACTGGAGTGCAGTGGCCGCTCCCGGCCACCGAAGCCTCAACCTGCTGGGCGCCGGCGATCCTTCCGCCTCAGCCTTCCGAGTAGCTGGAACTACAGGCGTGCACTGCCACACCCGCCTCATTTTGATTTATTGTAGAGATGAGGTCTCAACAAGTTGCCCAGGCAGGTCTCGAACCCGTGGGCTCAGGCCATCCACTCACCTCGGCCTCCCAAAGTGCTGGGATTACAGGCTGAGCCACCGAGCCTGGCTCAACAAGGACCTTCTAAAGAAGACACCAGGACGACTCAACTCGAACCACTGGCCACCATCGGCATCCCCACAACGGGACCAACTCACGTCAAGGACCTCTGAGACCAGGCACCGGGAGGACCCAGCCCCGCATCTGCAGAACCTGTCCAAGACTCACAGACTGAGCCAGGTCAGGAGGGGCCAGCCGTCCCGTCCGGGGGGGACGTCTGCAAAGCAACTGCCCCAGCTTCCCAAAACGTCAGCGTCATAAAAGACTCAGAATGGCAGTAAGGGATGACTCTTATCAAAGATCAAGAGCCAGGAGATTAAATGCAACGAAGTCTCTGGGATTGGATCCTGATTAAAGACCCAGAGAGGGGAGATTAAACACAACAAAGTATCTAAGGTTAGATCCCAGAACAGCAAAGAAACATGCTACAGGGGATACTACTGAACAGGCCGGACTGGAGATTAGATAGCCTCACTGCATCAATGACAAAATGCTTAAACAAGATGATTGTCCTCTGGTTGTATAAGAGAATGTCCTTGTTCTTAAAGATACAGGCAGAAGTGTTCAGGGGTAGACATACTACTACAAATTGTTTTCAAATGATCTGTCATTAAAATAATTTTATAAGATATATACTTGTAAGTCGGGCTCAGTGGCTCAGCCTGTAATCCCGCGCCTTGGGAGGCTGAGGTGAGTGGATTGCCTGAGCCCACGGGTTCGTGACCCGCCTGGGCAACTTGGTGAGACCTCATCTCTACTATAAAACAAAAAAATTAGCCGGGTGTGGTAGCGCATGCCTGTAGTTCCAGCTACTTAGAAGGCTGAGGT